AGAGAGAGAGAGAGCGTGCGCATGAGCAGGAGAGGGCAGAGAGATGGAGACAGAAGAATCTGAAGCAGGCGCCAGGCTCTGTGCTGACAGCTCAGCCCGACGCGGGGCTTGAACTCACGAACAGTGAGACCACGACCTGAGCCGAAATCAAGAGTCAGATGCTTAAATGACTGAGCCACCCAGGCGCCCCGATTTTGTGTCTTTGAAATGGGGACACAAGGATTACACGAGACAATGCCAAGCAAGTATGGAGCACCGAAGAGTGTCATTATGCCACTTTAGACCTCAGAGGAGACGTCACTTGGGATGTGTGAGTTACAAACCTGTTACCCATCCCGCATTCAGCTCACAGTCATGTTCATGCTGCTCTTCTTTCTGGCGAAGCGGGGGAGGCCAGGGGGGCGGCAGGGCTGGTGCCCAGCTCTGGTCAGCGGACAAAGGCCTGGGAGTTTGGCTCAGCCTTTCCCAGAGCCACGTCCTGACTGCGGGTCAGCTTGTGCTGGTCCTGACTGGCCCCGGCTCCCCCAGACCCAATAAGGCTGTGCATCAGACCTTCTGGGTAGCTGTAAAAGGTGCCACTTTGGAAACTCGGAGAGTCTCCGGGCTACGGGGGCTCAGCAGCCAGGGGAGGGGTGGTCCCACGGGAGCTGGGTGGGACTCAGCATCCAGCTTGGCCTCAGCTGAAGGGGCTGCCCCCATGCATAGGTGAGCAGCAGTCCTGAGGCCCCATTTCCAAAAGCCCTGCCACCTGGCCTGAACCTCGGCGGGGACTTACCCAGGCCCAGGTTGGAGATGGTCTCGAGGTCTGTGAAGCTGTGGGCCTCAAGGATGGCCTGGGGCAGCCTCAGCGTGAAGGGCAGCAAATCTCTGTGGAGACAGGAAAGGTCAGAGGTCATGTCGGGGAGAGGGACCCATGTGTCCATTCCCTGGCCCCACAGCCCATAAAGGAAGCAACCCTGATGGCTGATGGGTCTCCATGAAGACTGGAAGCTTCCCTGGGGGCCCAGGAGCTGAGCCCTGTGGCCGAGGGAGCAACTAGTCGGCTCTAGTCCTGTGCCAGCACTGAGGGACCTGGAGAAATGGGAGACTGTGCTTGGGAGTTGGGGGGGTGGGGTGGGTCATGGCTTCTCCCTGGGTTTCCTGGCCTGTGGGAAGCCGAGGAAGTTTCCTCTACTGGTGCTATTCTGGGTAGTGACCCACCCCTTCCTGCCTGCTAACCATTGTGGGTCCACGCTGAGATGGGCAGTGAGCACACAGTCGGGCTTCCCCTGTGAAGGTTACCAGTCGGCCCCTCCGGGCAGGCGGGGCCTAGACCCAGACTGCACCCTCAGTGCTCATTCCCAACTCAGGCCACCACTATCCCAATCTCTAACTTTGAAGGATGGCGCAATTCATCCCTGTGTTGCCTCAGTTTACCCGGTTGGCTCTCTGGCCTGCCAGCAGGGTTTCCAGCGGCTCCTCGGTCACTGTGTATGTCGTAATGGCCTGCAGAGTCCCTCAGCTCATTTGGTGCCCACCCCCGACCACCAGGACAATCTCACCCCCCCTTCTCTGTGTGCTGCTCAAGATGCCATTGTGGTGGCTGCAGACCACCCCCCGCCTGGGACCCCTGCGTCCATGGCCTTCCCTGGCCTTGGCTCTGCCCCCTGCCTCTCCCACCAGCTCCTCGCTTCTGCACCACAGACCCTTCTCTTGCACTCAGGGGCCTCCTGGCTGCCTCCCAAAAGGGCATGCTGATTTTCCTGTAGGGAGTATGCTTTGCTATGCCGCACCTCTAAGTTTTGCATAGAGGGAAGGCCCCCTCTTCCCCCCGACCACGTCTACTTAGATTCTACACATCCTTTGAGGCTGTACCATGGAACCCCTCCTTCTCCATGACCCAGTGTTGTTCAAGGACTTCATCTGTCCCCACTCCCTGACACTTCATCCAACTCAACACTTCACCCAGGGGCTGCCTCTTCTGATCCAAGGCAAAGCACCCACAGGATAGAGTGTTTGTTGAGTGACTATTATGTGCCAGGTACTGAGCTGGGTGTTTGCAGGCTTTGTGTCACATGATATTATTACTATTATGACGACGACGACGACGATGATGATGATGATGATGATGACTGTATCACAGCATGTGGGTGGGTATTAATACTTTTGTATTACTTAACTCTGGATCAGAATCCCATGGGAGGGCTGCTAAAAATGCAGATCCTCAGATCTACGTGCATGGGCTCCCAGGGTCAGGTCTGGGGGTGGGCTATGAATCCATACACACACACACACACAAACACACACACACACACACACACAAGAGACAGAGTGAGAGAGAGTGTATGCAGGCTCATGAGCAGGGGAGGGGCAGAGAGAGAGAGAGAGAGAGAGAGAGAGAGGGACAGAGCGAATCCCAAGCAGACTCTGTGCTGTCAGTGCAGAGCCCAGTGTGGGGTTCATCCCAGTCACCCTGAGATCATGACCTGAGCTGAAGTCAAGAGTCAGACGCTTAACCAACTGAGCCACCCGGGAGCCCCAAGAATCCATATTTTTCACCAGCTCTCAAGGGGATCCTGATGGACACAGCCTGGGATGGGAATCACAGCCCCCCAAACAAAAGCTATCCATACAAATAAAAACTGAGCGCCTCTCCAGTTGTGTGTATGTGTACGTGTGTACCATTAAGTCCCTTAAAAAGCATTCACAAAAACAGAAACTTGAAAAATGGAATGCTCCAATGGAATAAGCATGAATGTTCCAACGTGTCCCCCCACACGTGGGTGGGTCAGCGTGTGTACCTCCCAGGGTAGGAGATGCCCGTCCCTAAAGGCCTCTATTCTACTCAGTGGTGTTTGAACGTTTTGACCATGACCGCCAGTAAGAAACACATTTGGCATCTCGACGCAGTGTATATTCCCATGCACACGCTCTCTCCCTCACACACACTCATACACACACATAACTAAAGCAAGAGTTTAGCAAACATGACTTATTCTAACTTATGTGAGACACATTCTGATATTTCCCAGTTTCATTTAAATTTTCCTTTATTTTTTTTTTAATGTTTATTTATTTCTGAGACAGAGAGAGACAGAGCATGAGTAGGGGAGGGGCAGAGAGAGAGGGAGACACAGAATCTGAAGCAGGCTCCAGGCTCCAAGCCGTCAGCACAGAGCCCGATGCGGGGCTCGAACTCACAAACCGTGAGATCATGACCTGAGCCGAAGTCGGTCGCTCAACTGACTGAACCACCCAGGTGCCCCTAAATTTTCCTTTAAAAGGAGAGCAGTCCTGATCCACTAGATTGATTTTATGATCCCCTCCAGGGTGTTTTCTAACACTAACCACCAATTTTGCAATTTTCCACACACCAACAGGGTGTCCCACGAGTTAATTCCATTCTGGTGCTAATTACTTAGAAGTAGTGTAGCCCCCACAGGTAAGGGACTCCGCCCCACCTTCAGAAGCCTGTTGCAAGTCCCGGACCACCTGCACTTCCCGGCTGACTGGCTATAACTTGCAGGTTCCCACAGCCCCCTCCTCAGGTTTGACCATTTGCCAGAATGGTGCACAGAACTGAGGGAAATGCTTTCCTTACATTTACCAGTTTATTATAAAGGATACAACTCAGGAACAGCCCAAAGAGGTGCATAGGCAAGGTATGGAGGAAGGGGCGCTGAACTTGGATGCCTCTCTGGGCACGCCACCCTCCTGGCACCTCAGTGTGTTCAGCAAGTGGGAGGTGGGTGGGTGGGGCTGCAAGTCCCAGCCCTCTGAACACTCAGTCTTCCTGGTGACCAGCCCATCCTGAGGCTCCCTGGGGGTCCTGCCTATGTCAGCTCTTGGCACAAACTCAGGTATCACTAAAAGGGGCTCATGATGACTAACAAAAGACACCCTGTCACTCAGGAAATCCCAAGGGTTTTAGGAGCTTTGTGTTGGGAACGGGGACAAAGACCAAAGCAAATATATTTTCGTGTTCTACTATACTCCCATTATAATGGGAGTATAAACGGGATTGAAATAAAAACAGGGAGGGAGACAAAACAGAAGAGACTCATAAATATGGAGAACAAACTGAGGGTGGCTGGAGGGCTTGTGGGAGGCGGGATGGGCTAAACAGGTAAGGGGCATTAAGGAATCTACTCTTGAAATCATTGTTTCACTATATGCTAATTTGGATGTAAATTTAAAAAGATAAAAAATAAAATTAAAAAAAATAAACAGGATGGAAAAACACCACATACCAAGTCTACTATCTCATTAATGCTAATTTTCTCTTCCTCTGAGGGCTGGGCAACCCTGCCCAGTTCCTGTAAAGCCTTGGGGTAACCTGGGGAATACTTATTTCCATGGAATGTCCTGGCTTGTGGGAACAATATGTGTCCCCTCAATGCCCCCATGGCACCCCCAGCTCCATCCCCTGAGAGCCCTTGGGTGACTTTTGTGGTTTTGAAAGTTCATCACTGTAGAGAGAAAAACATGATCTTATTTTGGTAAATTTTTTATTAAAAAAATTTTTGTTTTAATTTTTTTAATGTTTTATTTATTTTTGAGAGAGAGCACACGTGAGTGGGAGAGGGGCAGAGAGAGAGGGGCAGAGAGAGAGAGGGAGATACAGAATCCAAAGCAGGCTCCAGGCTCTGAGCTGTCAGCACAGAGCCCGACGCTGGTCGCTCGAACTCAAACACCGCTGAGATTCAAACTCAAGTGAAGTAATGACGCCAACCCATTGAGCCAGGCACCCCAAAACATTTTTGTTTGTTTATTTATTTATTTGACAGAGAGAGAGAGAGAGAAAGTGCAAGTTGGGGAAAGGTAGAGAGAGAGAGAGAGAGACAGAGAGAGAGAGAATCCTAAGCAGGTCTGCATGACAAGCACGTGAGCTCCAACACGGCCTCTATTGCGTCATGAGCCACAAGATCATGACCTGAGCCAAAATCAAGAGTCAGACGCTTAACTGACCGAGCCACCCAGGCACGCTACTTTGGTAAACTTTCCAAGTGAGAGAGAGGGAGAAGGTGAAAACCATCATGAACTTCGACAGACCCTGCGAAACCCCTAGCTCTGCCAGTCCTGGCTGGGTGTCATTTCCTTCTCAGCTTCCCGGTCTGACGGAGGGGACACGATGCCCTCCCACGGGCTTGTTTTGAGAATTCAATGAGCCGGGGCATAGAAAATGCCGGCTGCGCATGCCAGCACCTAGTGGGGGCTTGTGTGTTTCATTCCTCCTCCTAAAAGCACAGGTCATGGGTGCTTCCCAGCGTGGTCGGGCTCCTTCCCTCTCCTCCGCTCACCGGCACCACCCCCAGGTAAGACCGCGGCTCCTGAGGAAGCTGGGAAGGCAACGGCAGAAACAGCTTTCTTCAGAGGCAAAGAGGACCGGCCTACCACCCCGTCCCCCTGGGAAAGGAGGGTGGTAGCTTAGTCACAACATTGTGTAGTCAGGCCCGAGGGTCTCCACCCTTCCTTCCTCATTTCAGCTAACGGCACCCACTTCACGAGGCTAGACGCCTGGCCCCTGGGTGCGCTAAGGATTTGTCCTCGCGGTCCTTGTAAGGGGCTTGGTAGAGTGCCTGGAGCACAGTCAGTGCTCCAGAAAAGATCCAGTGTGTTCACGGCCCCGTTGCCCAGGAGAGCAGCCCCAGCGTCCCCCTGGCTCCTCTGTTCCCTGACTCCCTTCTGCAGTGGCTGTCCCCCCCCCCCCAACCCCTCTCAGTTCCTCCAGCCAGCGCTGGGGCAGGGGCCTCCCCGCAGGCACTGCGTGGCTGCGGTGGCCCTGGGCTGGTCTCCCCTCTCCCCTCCTCCCCTCTGCCGTCTGCTGCGGCCACGCAGGTGTGCTAGAGTGCGGCCCGACTGCGAGCAGCGGTAGGGCTCACAGCAGCCGAGGAAGGATGTCCCCACAGCTCCCGGGCTTGGCGTTCGAGGCCTTCCATCTCATCCCCACCCACGTGTCCAGCTCTCCCACACAGCCGTTCCCAAGCTTCCCACCGCCAGTCTTCCCCGCCGTGCGGTGTCCTCTACCTAGAACTCTCTCCCTGCTCCTCCTTGCTTGGTCTTCAGTGTCACCTGTTCCACAGGAAGGCCTGGACCCTCCCACCCGTGGAAGGGGAGGGCTGCAGGGGAACAGCACATGCACCCTCTAGGCCCCAGGCCCTGCATCGTGTGCCGGGGAGAAGCAGCTGGGGTCCAGGGGTCCAGATAAGCTTGGGTTCAAATCGGCTCAGGACTGAGCTGTGTGATCTGAGCGGGCGACGGCCCCAGCCTCAGTTTCCTTGTCTGTAACAGCTGTAAGAACACCCGTGATGGCCCCTGGAGTGTTTACTTCGCGCCAGGCCCTCTGGCGGGCCCCATACAAGGAACTTTGTGTCTGATTCTTAGCACAACTTGGGGGCAGGGGGCATCAGCCTCTGAAGTGGGTCCGTAGATGAGAACACCTCCCCACAAGCCAGCTGTAGGGGTTAGAAAGAACTCTGTGGGCAGAGTGCAGACCAAGCCTGACTCTAAGAAGATGCCTGGTCAATCAATGGGAGCCAGTTTGCACAGTCTGCTTCTGCCCCAGCCTGACCCACGGATGCCTCTTACCAGCCCTGCCCACCCATCGCCCAGCCTCAGCGGGGTCTGCTCCCGGGGACTGGCACCTGTGACCCTCAGAGGGTTGTCCTGAATGCTGGGGCCTCACTGCCTGCCCCACTGACCCCGCGGAGAGCCACAAATGCCTCTGTCATGGGGGCTGGTCGGGTGGCTTGGTGGGTACGAAAGCCTAGCCCCGCTGGCTTTAAGGTGGACAACGCTGAGGTCTCTCTTCTGCTCCAGAGCCGCTCTTGGGATCCTGCTGAGGCTGGGATGGCCCCTGCAATCTCACCTCTGCTGGACTCCTCTCCCTCCCGCATCCTAGCTCCCCCTCCCCCTGCTGCTCTCTCCTTGGGGGCAAGTCCTTTAGCACCACTTGTATATGTGCCTCTAGGAGAGCCCTAGCTAAGCTATGACTGCGCCCCACCCCAGACCCGCTGGGTCAGAATCTCTGGGGTAGACTCCAGGAGTCGGTATTGTTTTAAAAATTTTTTGTCCTGTTTATTTGAGAGACAGAGAGAGAGAGGCAGGGGGAGGGGCAGAGGGAGAGGGAGACACAGAATCCAAAGCAGGCTCCAGGTTCCCAGCTGTCAGCACAGAGCCCAACGCGGGGCTCGAACTCACGAACTGTGAGATCATGACCTGAGCTGAAGTGGGATGCTTAACTGACTGAGCCACCCAGGTGCCCTCAGGTGTCTGTATTTTTAACCAGCTTCCTGGGTGACTGCAAAACCCAGGCAGGTCTGGGAAGGCTCTCTAGAGCCCTCACACCAGACGACCATCCAGCCCGGAACGTTAGGGTGAGCACTCTGAAGCGGGGCCCGTGTCTTCCCGCATGGGGACAGGGAGAGGGGAGCGTGTGCTCCCAAGGAAAGTGCTGGCTCTATGCTGTGCCACCTTGGCTACCATCCCCTTGAGAGATAAGGCATCCACAGCTAGGAGAGGCCGGGTGACAGCGAGGTAACGGGTCTCCAGCTCCTGGCCTGGGGCTCTTCCTCCCACAGCATCTCACTCCTCACAGACGGCCTTGGTGCTGACACCAAATACAGTAATGTTGACTTCGAGACATTCGGGCTCTGTGCCCTGTGATCTCGTGGGTTCCCTGAGCAGCTGAGGGTGGGCAAACAGGCACCTGTTTTTCTGGAATGCAGAGAAACAGCAGCCAGAGGCGGAAAGGTCGGCAGGTGACAGCGTGACCTTGGTGTCTTGGTGACTATGGCTCCAGATCTCTCTGGACACAAAGTCACTACTCCAGCACACCCTCCCAGGGCCCAACCCACGGAAACAGAACCGGAACGCCTACTAGCTGCTGGGTGGCTCCTTTATCCGCTTTCTTTCTCTGGCATGTGTCAGCGGGTATGAGCATTCCCATTTTACAGAAGAGGAAGTTGAGCCTCAGAGAGACGAAGAGACGAGTGCAAGTCCTGGGCTCTGCAATTATGTCATTGTTCATTTATTCATTCCAAGCACCAAACGCCATGCTGGGCACTCTCTCCTAAGACAGGAACTTCTCAGAACAAGAAAGCTCCCTGAGAGCTCGGCCGGTCATAACATATGGAGGGCCAGGGGGCCTCTGCCGCTCTGCCTCGGAAAGAACATGCCAGATCATTGAAATTATTGTGAGAGGCACACAGTGTGGGGGGCGGGGGCGGTTGTAGCAAAGATCATAGACCTTGGAGATTTACCTACTTTCAATCTCCATCCCGCCGTTTACCACCTATGTGACCTGAACAAGTTACTTCTCTCAGCCTCAGCTTCCACATCTGTGAAATGGGAACTTCCCTCAGGGTACTGTTCGCAAGACTTACAAAGGTAATGGATATAAAAACTCTAAGCACAGTGCTGGGTACCGGAGAGCCCTCAACAGGTGCTGGCTGTTAGCGGCTGCTATCACCCAGCATCACATTTTTCTGCCCATCGCAGCCCAGGAGGGTTCCGGCAGGTGGGGAGGGAGTACTGGGTTGAGCATGGTTTTCACGGGAGGCGGCAACGATGGTCTCTCGGACGCATGGAGAAGCGAGCCTGGAGCCCTGGAGCCCGAGGCATCCCATCCAGCCCTCGTCGAGGGCCTGGAGCTTAAGCCATTATGACACCAAAATACCTTTTTACATCCCTATTGGCCTGCAGCCAGTTCTGAGGAAACAGAGCAGCTCTGAGGGTGGTGATCAGTCACTCACCCCACCCAGCAGCTACTTAATAATCACAGGCTCTGTCCCACTGAGGGGTATCAGCCCTTCCTGTTGTCCCCACAGGAAGTGCCATCTATAACCCCTGCAACAGGGCGGGTCAGGTCCTCATGGGACTCCAGGCTGTCCTGGAAGCTGGAGCACAGGAAGTTGGGGTAAGGGGCTGTGAGCCAGGGGGCAGGTGGTGACGAGGGAGGGGTCCTTACCGGCCAGACTAAGATAGCATCAGAGCCAACACCTCCCTCATGGTTACCAGGGCAAAACCAGGGACTGTCCCCTCTCTGTGCCTCCTCTGGGCTGAACCTTTCCTTCCCTCTGGGGGCTCCCCTGTGACCCTCACCCCCACCCAAGGGTGCATGAATGTCGGTTGCAACCAGATGCCCTTCTGTGGGGCCAGATCTACTCACCTACTGACACAGTAGAACGCGATCAGTCTGAAGATGTCCTCAAACACAAGAACCGAGCCTTCCAGGTACAGTACTGAGGAGAGATGACAAAAGCTCTGGATGAGTGTCCCTGCCAGGCGGAAGGAGACTCCCTGAGGGTTGGGGCCATATCTGCCGCCTTCACAGGGGGGTCCCAGTGCCAACCACAGTGCCTGGCATCCTGCAGCCTCATACACATCAGCTCTTAACCAGACTGCAGGCAAGTGGGGACTGAACTTCTGTGGTGTTAATCCACTGAGATTTCAGGGGACTATTACAGAAGCTGGTTATCTTTGATATACAGTCATCATTTGGGGCAAAATGACACAGGAGACTCTAGATCGTAAAAGCAGAATTAAACATTGAATTGATGAGGGTCATCTCAATCTGACAAGGAACTGGGAGGGGCCAGCAGGGGGCAAGTTGCCCAGTTCTGTCTGGGTCTCCAGGAGGTGCAGGAGGGCAGAACCAGGGCCACTGGCCTTTCACCCAAGAACCCTTGGGCCTGTTAGAACCTTACTCGATTTGGCTATATGGGTAATCCAAGAGTGAGGGTGACCCTGGTATTTCCCAGCTCTGAGAACAAAGACGGATCAAAGCACTTGCCCAAGATGCCATCCCAAGGTGGATATGGCTCCTTGGAGGGGCACGGTGCTGGGATGTGCCTGAAGGTAAGTGGGGGTGGACCGACCAAAGGGGAATGTGGCACCCTGCTTTGGGTCCTCAGGACAAGGGGCCCAGAGAAGCTAAGCCATTTGGTCGAAGTCCACTGCCCATCTTGGCTGTCATGCAAGTTCACGACCCCTGACTGTCATCCCAGGGCTCCATATGCCCAACAGGTGATGCTCCCTGTGTTGGGGATCCCCCACAGTGAACTTTCTCAGGCACCAAAGATACCAAGAAACAGAGGGCCACACTTCAGTTCCAATTTCCTAAGGTTCTTCTCCCATCTGTGTGGTGGAGGGGAAGTCAAGACCTGGGTCCCAGGCCTGGCTCCAACCATGGGTCAGGGCCACCACCTGCAAAAGGAAGGAGCCCTTCCAACCATACATCTAGATGACAGGAGGCTGTTCTGTTTTCAAAGCCTAGGACAGCATTTCACTGCATTGTGCTCTGCGACACGGGCACACACGAACCAACATGTTTTGTTCCAATAGCTTGGTATCATTTTATTTTATTTTTTATTTTTTTCACATTTATTTATTTTTGATAGACAGAGAGAGACAGAGCACAAGTGGGGGAGGGGCAGAGAGAGAAGGAGACACAGAATCCGAAGCAGGCTCCAGGCTCCGAGCTGTCTGCACAGAGCCCGACGCGGGGCTCGAACCCGCAAACTGCGAGATCATGACCTGAGCCAAAGCTGGATGCTTAACCAACTGAGCCACCCAGGCGCCTCTGAATAGCTTTATTTTTATATTTGCCTTCTTTCAACGTACTAGACACTGTTCTAAACGGTTAGCAGGATTTTTAAAAAGAAGTTACACTCATCATCTATTTACAGCAAAGAAGTAATGGTTTCCCATAGACACTTTAAAAGGGAGTTTAAAGAAAAACGCTAAGTAAATTTTTTTAAAATGTTTATGTATTTCTGAGAAAGAGAGACAGAGAGAGACAGAAACACAAAATCCAAAGCAGGCTTTGGGCTCTGAGCTATTAGCACAGAGCCCGACACAGGGCTCAAACTCACTAGCCATGAGATCATGGTCTGAGTCCAACTGACTCAGCCGCCCAGGCGCCCCAAATAAAAATACTAAGTAGATTAAAGTACCAGTGGTACTTGGAAGGTGCATACAAACGACTTAGTCAGAAACATCCATCCCTGGAACTGCCACCCTTTGTGAATCAGTAGCAGTTGGGGCGGGCCACAGCGCCACCTAGTGCTGGCATTTGGGGCATCACCGACTCTCTCAAGAAGCGACAGGCCAAGGGAGCCGGGGGGCCAAAAAAGACATCCTGTAGCCTCAAGAGGTAGAGAGAGCTCCATCTATCAAGCGGGGAAGTAAATAAAGACTTCCTTGCGAATCCCTCAAGGGGAGGCTAGTAGCGATGCATGCAGAAAGCCTAGCATACCTGGTGCGCGTACTCAACAGTTAGTAGCTGTCCCTAGTCACGGGGACATGGGGACATGTCTGACCTTTGCAGGACACACTTGAAACTTTTAAGATAAAGTCAGCCACTCCCTCTTCTGCGGGGACAGCATCCCTTCACACCACGGACACCCCTGGGGGAGCTCCTGCATGCCAGGGCCAGGGTGTGGCCCAAATCTGAGTCTCCCCTCCCCCAGTACCCAGCACAGTGTGTGGCACGCAATTTGGGAGATCACTATGTGTATTACGTGTCTATCTGGGAGGGAGACCCCGGAGGAATAGAGGCCTGGGGACACTTTGGATGGCTCATCGCTCTCCCCCGCAGGAGTCCAAAGGGACACCTCAGACCTGAGGGAGTCCCGACAGACAGCTTCACATCATCCTGGAGCACGGGCTAATGCAAATGGGTAAGCATTCGACGATCCTAATGTTGGCTGGGCTTAGCTTCCAGGACCGTCCAGAGTTCTGTGCTGTACCGGCCTGGTGCCTCGTGTGTGGGTGCCCGGGCCCAGCTGCCCAAATGTGAACATGCCTCTGTCTGTTGCTTACCCTCTCTGTGCCTTGGTTTCTTCAGCTATAAAACAGGGATAATAAAGTATCCGCCTGTTATGGGTTGAATTGTGTCCCCCAAAAAGATATGTTGAGGCCCTAACCCTGATTTGGAAATAGGGTCTATGTAGGTATAATCAAGTTAACATGCAGTCAGCCTGGATTGGGGTGAACCCTAAATCCCATGAATGGTGTCCTTACAAAAATGCGTAAGGACGTGGGACACAAATGCAGAGAGGAGAGGGCCACATAACGATGCAGGCAGAGATTGGAGCAAGGCCTCTATGAGTCAAGCAACACCAGAGAGTGCTAGTTTTCACCAGAAGCTAGAAGAGGGGCGTGGAACAGATTCTCCCTGATCTGCAGAAATAACGAACATGTTGACTGTTGATTTCTGAGCTCCAGAACTGCGAGAAAATAAACCTGTGTTGTTTTAGGACCACAAGTAGCACAGCGGTCCTAGGACACTAATGAACCCACTCATAAGCAATGCTCATTCCCAGAAGCCGCTAGAATGGTGCACAGCACGCTCAGTCAGTGACAATACAGGATTACTAAACCGTAACTTTAAACCAGTAAGCCAATCATGGAGGTAGAAGGGTTTCTGTGGCTCTGCTTGGCATTATTTCGTATGGCTCCTCAAAAGAAAACCTGTCCCTTGGGGGGCCCATTTTCCTCACTTTATCCTGTCAACACAGTCCATATTCCTACCACTGGGCCTTTGCTCGTGCTGTTGCTCTATGCATGAGAATCCATCTTTTTAAAAAATTATAATTTATTGTCAAGTTAGCTAACATACAGTATATACAGTGTGCCCTTGGCTTCAGGATTAGATTCCCATGATTCATCACTTACATAAAACACCCAGTGCTCATCCCAGCAATGCCCTCCCCAGTGCCCTTCACCCATTTTCCCTGCTCCCCTCCCCCCCGCCCCTCCACTCCCTTCCACCCTCAGTTTTTTCTCTGTATTTAAAAGTCTCTTACGGTTTGCAATCTTTGCCCTTCGCCACTTTCAGGATTCAGCTCTACGTCTACCTTCCGGCCCAAAACCTTTCCTGAGTGTTCCGACCTCCCTCAGGGAAAGCTGCACACAGGAGGAACTATGCAAACCACACATTTTCCCATCAGGGAAACGTCATACATATGCTCACATTGTGATGTGAGGTCATGAGACTGTGGACCCCCTGAGAGTAGGAACAGGTCTTAACTTTCCTTATCACCTGCCCTGCACCTGACACCGTGTTGGGCACACAGGAGGACTCTGAAAGGGACAGCCGGGCTGACCAGGCCCTCCGGGGCTGGAATCGAGAGTGGACCAAATTTATAGAGACAAAAAGTAGGTTAGTGGCTGCTTAGGGCTTGGGGGTGGGGGAGGGAGGAGAGGTAGGGAGATGATATGGTTTTCATTTTTTTAAAAATCATGTTGAGCTACAAAAACACACAATTTAGCATTTTAACTATTTTAGGGGTGCAGTTCAGTAGCATTAAGTACAAACACATTGGGCAACACGGGGCCTCTTTTTTGAGGTGATAAAATGTCCTCACACTCACTAGGGTGGGGATACACTACTCTGAACCAAAAGCCGCTAAAGGAGCCCCCTAAGTGGGTGAATTGTGTGAACTAAATATATTATATGGCTATCTTTCAATAAAGCCACTACATAAAAAAAAGGAGTGGACTGAATTTCACTGCCTAGATTGTGTTTTCCTGGGAGTTTTATAATGAGCATATATGATCTCAGTAAGCAGAGAAACTGTAAAGAGCCTACATTTTTTTCTAGCCTTTAAAAAAAAATGTTTATTTTTGAGAAAGAGAGAGAGACAGAGTGTGAGCAGGGGAGGGGCAGAGAGAGGGGGAGACCCAGAATCCGAAGCAGGCTCCAGGCTCCGAGCTGTCAGCACAGAGCCGGGCGCGGGCTGGAACTCACAGACCACGAGATCGTGACCTGAGCCAAAGTCGGATGCTTAACCGACTGAGCCACCCAGGTGCCCAGTAGATTTTTTAAAAAAATTTTTAATGCTTATTTATTTTTGAGAGAGAGAGAGAGAGAGAGAGAGAGTGAGGGAGGGGCAGAGAGAGAGGGAGACACAGAATCTGAAGCAGGCTCCAGGCTCCGAGCTGTCAGCACAGAGCCTGATGTGGGGCTTGAACTCACGAACTGTGAGATCATGACCTGAGCTGAAGTCCGATGCTTGACCGACTGAGCCACCCAGGCACCCCTCTTTGCTCATTCTGTACTCAAGTTGTTTGCTGTTTTGTTTTGAAGGGCTCAGAGTTCCTCTTTAGCTAGGACATTTTCATAACGTATTCATTTCTCCACAAATATTTATTGTGCTCATCATCTTGATAAAAAGGGTAGGTGGATATAGAAATTGAGAGGCAGCCTCACAGGTAGAAGGATGACAGGGAATTTGCC